CATAAACGGTTTAATGTCAAGTGAAAAGTGGGAAATCACTATATCTGGTATATTGAGACTAGGAGAAGGCCTGGACTGATTGAATTGACTTTTGGCATTGCTCAAGTGTACTAGAGAACATGTTTCTGTGCAATTTTATGAAGATAACACACACACTGACCGACATATGTGACATGAAGTCTGCTAGAATAACAAAATCATTATATGTGGCATATGGGAGCTGGGGTAATTTGTAGACCGATTTTACAAAGTTTTAGTATTAAACTATAATATTACGATAATTGAGCGATACATATACATACACACGGTATATAGTCAACCGGAAGTAGGAAATCTCTATATTAGGCAAAAGGCAAATTATAATCATGAAAAAATAAACTTTGCATCTCATTATGATATCTCAAAGCCTATCATATATTTTCGGGAAAAAGTCAGTTATGGGATGCATATATTCGGGCTTTGAAAAGTTATGGTCCTTCTGATGTAGTTCATCAGTATAAATAGTTTTATGTGAGCTACTTCCGAGACGTTGTACAGAAACCCACGACCGATAGTTGCGATTATTTTCCTGTATAGAGGATTATTTTCCTTACATTCGCATAGAAGATGTTTTACATTCTCTTCTTCTTCTACCTCCTGACAGCTTCTACAATAGTCATTTTAAGGTGCACCTAACCTGCGGCATGTCTACCAATTAGACAGTGACCTGCTTGTATTCCAATCAGAGTTTTTATGTCATTCCTTTTGTATTTTAATAGTCGATTTGTGCAGCTCATATCCCATTCCTGCCTTTTTTGCCTGCTAGTTGAGCAAGTAAGTGATTGTCTCCACCGAGACTCAGCTAGATTTATAACATGTTCGCTGATTAAATGTTTACAAGCGGCTAGATACATAAAAATTCGCCCTTTTTCAGAGGCTAATTGTAGAGTGTTGCCTATTTCATCTGCTTCGCAGTTACCAGGGTTATCACTATGCCCTGGAACCCATTGCAGGTTTATCGTGGAGTAGGAAGTTAGGTCCTCTAAGAGATCGAGACATTCTTTCACTATCTTTCATGGACCATAGGAGACTTCAGTGACCTCTTGTTGTGAGCACACTTTTTGTCAGAACAACAAGGCTTTCTTTGATTGCTGTGATCACCGCTTGGAAGACACTGCAATGGTCGCTGAAAGGCGATTTTAGTATTTAATGTTGCTATTGGATTACGATAATCCGTGGTAATGAGTAGAAATGGGAACTTACTAAGTATCTTAGAATGCTCCTTATTGCAGGCGACTAATTGGGAGGATTCCCTCAAGCTAAGAGCTGACTTCGCCGCCACTTGATTACAAAACAATTCTGTTGACAGTAAATGTAAAAAAACATTTAGTGCCTGAGCAGGATTCGTATATTAGACTTAATTTTCAGACATCAGTTCTTCAGTTTGTAGGTATAGACATCATGAAAACTATATATTATTATATTTGAAAGACGGACCAATTTTTATTTTACTAGATAAACATCCCATGTTGGGTTGAGTTTAAAATCTGATACAGAATAATCCTTTAAGTTGTTGGGGTAAAGGGGGAATAAATATGTATGCATATGATAGACTTGTTTACAAAATCTTTTGTTATCTAGATAAATATTTGTATACTCTCGTAACATGTTGCTACAGAGTACTACATATATATTATTAATGATCAGGATGAAGAGACGAGTTAAAATCCGGGTGACTGTCTGTTCGTCTGTCAGTCCGTCTGTGCAAGCTGTAACTTGAGTAAAAATTGAGATATCTTTTTGAAACTTTGTACACATGTTTTCTGGTACCGTAAGACGGTTGGTATTTTAGATGGGCATAATCGGACCACTACCACGCCCACAAAACGCCATTAATCAAAAACAAATAAATTGCCATAACTAAGGTACACAATAAGATACAAAACTGTTATTTGGTACACAGGAACAAATTTATTTTTAAAAAGTGGGCGTGGGCTCGCCCCTAATAGGTTTAATGTGCGTATCTCCTAAAACGCTAAAGCTATAATAACGGAATTTACTAAGAACAAATGTTTTTACCACCTCTATCGACAGTGTTAAATCGGGCGCCCACTCCTCATATAACGAAGCTGTTAAAAACTACTAAAAGCGCGATAAATCAACCACTAAACATGGCAGAGACATTAAATTTTACCTATAGGATGGTAAGATATGACTTTTTAGAAACCGCTTTCAAAATTAGATAGTGGGCGTGGAACCCCCACTTTTAAGTGGAAACTCATATCTTGGGAGCTGCTTAACCGATTCGGTATATAGCATACTTCTCATATTTCTATGTTATAGTACAAAAATAGGCGAATTGTGATTACAACGACGCCTTTTTCCCATATAACATCATTTTAAATTCCATCTGATTCTTGCAAATCAAGCAAAATATATAAAGAAATCTCAAACGAGTATACCGTGTGACTTTCGAATTTGCGGTGATCTCTGTTTGTTTGTTGTTTAATAGAATGACCTCACAACTTGAAGATACAAAAATAGCTGGTCCTTGTCTTCGTTTTTGACTTCCATTAATATTCTGATCTATTGATCTCTACTTTACCTTCTTCATTTCTTTTCATGAATATTGCTTATTAACTCTCTTATTACTCACAGTGTATTTTCCCCGTTGAAATTTCCCACTTTTTGGATACCATCAATAACCACAATTCCAAAAGTTATTTTATTTGACTCTCTTTCAAAAGTTGTCTCTTCAATTTGACTGATAACGAAATTGCGTGGCGTGAGGAGATTTTCAATTTAATAAATGGAGACTTAACCACCCACCTTTTCATCACAAAACAAAACACAAACATTTCCTTAATAGCCGAAGTTGATTTACTTCTTGTGACGCTCTTCTGCCGCTATGGGGGATAGCGCTGATGTTGTACGAGAGGTTGCGCTCAGCGGATGCTGCTCCAGCTACACGCCAGTTACACAGTTAACGGTGAAAAAGGCGTGTGTGTTTACTTAACGCTCAGCAAAAGCGAAAAAGCAGGAACCGGAAAGTTGTCGCACTACTCATTAACTTGCTGCTAACTTTCTCTCTGAGAAGCATAAACAATCTGACTTTCGCTCCACTGTATTTTATGGTTCCACATTAACTTCAAGCGCTCACAGCTGTTCACGAACGCTCATCTGCTGTTTACGAATGCTTCTTCTGTTTCATCGGCTCATGCTGGCCCGTGGCTGTTGCCGCCAACGCCGCTACTATCAAACAGCGAGTATGTGTCACTGTGTCAATTGTCTGCGCGCAGCCCATCACTGGTAGCGTCGTCTTGTGGAGTTGAAGAATTCGAACATTCCTAAGCAGCAGCAGCAATGCCAAACACCCGAGTCGCGTCTACACACCACTTACGAGCATGCCTCTGTAAGCAGCACACGGTGTCGATACTACTCATTCACTGTTGGGGTTGGTTGTATGGTAAACGAAGGGGTTTGCTGAAAGTCATAATGATGTTGTGATGCTGTGTGAAAGCGACGTTTTCCTGTTGTGTTTGTTTTTATGGCTTCTTTTTTATCTTCGTGTACTCTTCTTGGCCGTTCAACAGTTTTGAAACTTAATTTAAGGTTAGTGTTACGACCTGTGTGCTGGTAATTATTTTATTATTTCTTTTGGCAAAAAGGTTACGACGAAATGTTAAATGAGCTTCCACTAATGCATGCCTGACAATTATAGAAAAAACGCATGTTACTTAATATATGGCGCTTTATCTACTTTTTAAGACGTGTTGTTTTTTTGGTCAGTTGTTTTTGGATCTGGTTAGTGTTGTAAGTTAAAGCTGTAGCCTGGGTCGAATTGAAGGATTTTATGAACTGTAATGAATTATATTCTCGGGTTTTCACATCCTTGGCTTTTAGCCCTAACGAATTATTCGTAAAATTTTTCATGGGACTTTAAAATATTTTTGCCCCATTCTGTATAATCAAAAGCAGACACAGTTCTCTCAACGTCTGCGGTTAGTCGTTGTGTCACTAGAGTAGTCATTTAGTGAAAATTCCCATGAAATGTTAAATTGGTAGAAGAGATCGGATGGACTTAACAATCTTAACTTGGAAGCAATTCTCCAATTCAATTCAGGAATATTTTCTACCGCTACAAAAACAAGTCTTGAGTGATACACGTCCTTATGAGTTTTGGTAATTAGTGATGCACTATGCGTGGGATCTAGGGTCCCCAGTTAGTATTTCTGAATTCTATTTTGAGTAAGTGTGTTGAGAATTACTAGAACGCTTCATAGAACTAAACTTAGACAAAACCCTTTATTCATTGATAAAACCTTAAAGAGTTCTTACGCCTCCAAAAATATATTTGAAACCGGGTCATTTGTCATCACTGCTGCTGTCGAAGCTGCAAAGTAGCTTCAGCAGAGGTTAAAAGTAGAGTTGCCAAGGTGACATAGAAAATCACATAGATGGAGAGTGAGCGCCAGACCAGCAAGCAAGTGTTTACCTATATTCAAATATGTATATGTGCGTATGTTTGTGGCTGGAAATGTTGTTTGTGTTGAAATTGGGTGCGACGCACTCGACACACAAATACATGGCAACAAAACAAAAGATATGAATTGGACTTATGAAAAAGTCGGTTAAAGGAGAGAGCATAGCAAGCATGACTTTTGATAGACCGGAGAGTAAAAGCCGTACAGTGGTTGTGCAGAGAGTGTGAGCGTGTCTTATCAAACCGTTGAAACCGAGCGCTCTTCACATTTTGGACCAAATTTTCGTTGCTAACTTACAACGGTAATCAAATATTGTAAGGAAGCTGAGCGCTCTTTCCGCCACACATACGCGGAAGAGCGTGCGAAGCATGCAAGAGCACTTTACAATGAGCTAACTGTAAAGGATATTGTTTGACACGGCGAGAGCTATTGGAGTCAGCCACCGCCGCTGCAGCCGTATCTCAACTGAGCAAGATTGGAGCATTGCGAACGCGTAACGGATTTTGGAAGGCTGAACTGTGAAATTTCCCAGCTGCCAAGACAGAAAGAAGTGTGTGGCAGACGTACGCGACCGCTTTGCTAACGCTGTTTGTGGCGCGGACAGTGGCGGATACCAACTAGTAGAATCAAAGAAAAAAGTGGAAATTTCTAAGACAGTAGTTTGAAGTGGAAAAGTTTATGGCACAAAGTACTTTTAATTGTGTGTAAGGTGCGCCAGCAATGATTTGAGTTAACTTAAATAACGGTAATTAATATGCGTAGATACCGAAAGGTGTGAAATTACAGCGGCAAAGTCTCAATTTCAGCAAAAAAATCCAAATGCAGTGAAAATTCGTGTGAAAAAGTTGATAAATCCTTTCGGTCGTTCGCTCCTGTAACGCATAGTGGGTGTGATAAGCGTGTGCAACAACAACACAGCGCGACAAACAATGCTGGCGACGTAAACGTAGGTGCTAAAACATATCGACTTTCAACTTTTACAATAGTGAAATTGGCGAAACAAACGTTTTCAACTGGGAAACTCAAGAAGTATCCTTGAAGATGCCTAAAATCGCGTTTTCCCAGTAGTCTTTGTACCGTTTCAGTGTGGCATACCACTATCGGATATTTTTTATGACAATTTCGTGCTTTTTCTTTTTACTTGCGCCTACTTTTTTCCATTCGGTGGTCTGCGTTGTCGATAAGGAGAGGTGGGTTGCGGGTGTGGGGTCAGAATTGGTGAAAGTCTCCATTCCAAGAGGTAGCAGTTGCCCCTTTTTCACACAGCAGCAAGCAGAAAATAACAAGCACAAGCACACGCATATATATGTATAAATATATATTACACATACACACACACACACACCAATTGCAATTCGAAAGTCGTAAATCTACACTCAAATTAAGTTTTTATAGTTTGTTTGTAATTTGCTGTCAAATTTGACTTGAAATGCACACACACCGCGTCGCCCACATTTACACGTATTTACGCACATGCGCAATGCAACAACAACAACGCGGGCAAAGTGAGATTTCTATGCAAATGACAAAAAGTCTCCAACCAGCAGTAGCAACGGCCACAGCATCGGTATATCTGTACGCTCAATAACAAAGAGGGCTGAAAGAAGCGAGCGGCAGGCAGCAAACGAAAAGCAGCATTTATAATCGGTACTATATAGCTTGTTGAGTATTGAGCGCGCTCTCTCAACATTTGACAGCTGTTTGCTGTTTGACGGTGTAGTTCACTGGCCGTGTGAGCGGGTTGTTAATCCGTTATTTGACAGCAGTTGCGTTTTTGGTCGAAAGCAGTATTCCACACAACGCCAATATATGGCAACACTGGCACGCATAGTGAGAATATGCATGCCACTGCATAGCGAAGAGCGTATACTTTTTGTTTGTGTAAGATTTTGCTCCGTAAACAAGTTGTCAACAATTTGCGTGTTGCAAGTTTCGCTTGTGCAAAGGATAAATAAAACTTTATGGCAAAACAGCGTTTTTGGCACTGATAAGATGTTAGGGGTGATAGCTAACCTTCGATGTGCAATTCTAATTAGAAAGCATAACGAACGTTTTTTAATAACATTGTTTAAATAGAAACTGAGTCGTACCGGAACACTATAGCTTATAGCTGGCATACAAATTGACCGATTAAAATCAAGTCCTTGTATGGAAAACTGTTTTATTCTACAAGGTATCTTCATAAAAGTTGTCACATATTATTGTCTAAGACACCGCTATAATCTCAAAACATATAGTTTAAAGGATCTCTTTAAGCCCTTTTTTTATAAGAAAAGAACTTGTGTACTTTATTATTTTTCTTCTGGTTGATCTGGCGAACTTTGTGCCGCCTAGCTGTCAATTGAGGCGCTGATACCTTTTCGTAAACTTAGGTTAGCATTTTGTGGGACCTGTAGTCTTTTATTAGTAGATATTCCGTAGCCTAATTGCATTACAGATTTGTTAGATTTTCTGTGAGTCCCGCAATGTTTTTATTTTCAAACAATAGAATATTCCGAGAATTTCTCCCACATTCTGCATTGACGTTCTTGTCGTATAGAGGCTAATCGATTTGATTTGATAAATGTTGCTATTTATTTGTTCTTAATAATTTTGCTTACATTTCGATTTGACTTGTTCCTATATATTCTGATATCTTTTGATACTAATTTTTTCAATGTATATATCAGCTTTTCGGGTTGAAACTTAGCAAATTGAATCTTTTGTAAGAATCAAAATGATAAATATATATTTTTGTATAATCTTACAGTTATGATTTGGTCTTTCAATTCCACTTATCATTGAGTTAAAAGAAACTCTAAAAAGATGTTTGAAAAAATCATTCTCGATTATAACAGAAGTATTATTTTTAGAAATTTTGTGTGTGTTTAACCTTAGAAAATCGGTCAGAAACTTTGAACAGTTATACTTTAATATTTTTTTATTGAAACAAACTTACTTTATCAAAAATTTTAACTGAACATACCTTCATTTATAAGCACCTAGTCAAACACAGCGCTGATAAGGTTCACGGTTATGCATGTTGTTGTTATTATTCGTAATATTTTTTGCGGATGATTTTACTGTGCGAAGGATGCTAAAGTATATGCACACGTGAAAAACTCTTTGCTGAAAGACACTCTTCATTCTTGACTAGGCGCTCAAAATTTGATAACCGACTCTTTCACGCTCTTTTTACAAACGCAAGTCTCCAAAATAATCAACCATTACTGTTAAGGTTTACCAAGAGTGAATTAGGCTAAAAGGGAATTTGTTCTAGCTTTCATTTCGAGTGTTTAGTTTTTAACTGGTCGCAGAATTCTTCTCACATTTCATTGAGATTAAAAGAATTACGTAGCTGTTGCCTAAACTTTTGCGGTGTTCTTGATGTGGCAATGGTGCTTAAATATTGTTTTTTTTACAAGTAAATTATTGTTTCTTATGCTCCTATAACTATTATCCTCTTATAATAAACAATCAATGTTCCACTCTTATTTCACCGTATATGCTGTCTTTTGTACCTCTCTCCTTCTCCGCATTTGTTCTGAAATTCGAATCAAAGGCCTCTTGAACTTCGGCTGACACAGAGCCAACAACCTGCTACATGCAGCCCAACTATCGCTCGAGAATTTATGTTATTCCAACACAATGTATATGCCGTTCAACATTGTTTCTAAACATTTGCAAGCAACTCATACGAACTCGTGTACTTTTCGCTCACACTTATGGTAATTGCATGGAAATATGGACATCGAGAGCGACTGCTCACTAAAAATACACAGAGAGCTCTGCATTAGAACTTTAAGTCGGTGCGCTGCAGGCCTGATAGCGTGCTCCTGTGCTCTCAGGTATGTTGCGTATACCCCGTGTACGCCGTGCTTGCTTCGTGCGCTCTCGCTAAGCGCTGGATGCTGTGTGCGTAGCTAAGATTGCTGTTTCAAAAAACTTCTGTTATTGTTGTAAGCGTGTGAGAGCGACAATAACAATAATAACAACAACGCAATTGGACAACAAAATGGGCAATTCGCAAATAGAAAATTTCAGCCGAAAAATCTCAACTCGGGATTTCGTGTGTGCGTTTTAGCTGCGACGCTCGTGCGTACATCTGTGTATGTGTTTATTCTTATGCTCGCTGCTGTGTGAGTGTGATTGCTTTCTTGCAGCATACTCTTCGTGTTAGCGCGGCGGCAGCGTTGTAATTCGAAGAAAAAAAAGAAACAAGTGAATTTATATGCTGCTGAGCTGTTGGGAATTTGTATGGCCACAACTGTAAAGGACCAACAACGCGATGCTTATGTGCACTGTTATAACGATGTGATGCTACGAGGAGTCTGGCGTTATTCGCGTCGCTGCTTAACATCGTGCGCTACTAGTAGTGTAACACGACGTCACATACGATGCGACCAAAACGAAGTGGCCGACGATTGCGACGACGGAGGGTGCCACACGAGTGCGACGAAGTCATTTGTGTTAACGGCTACGGCAGCGGCAGCGTTAACGTTGACGAATGTGTCCACACGCTGTGCGCCGTACGGCTGTATGGCTCCGGAATCGAAATAATCGAGGTGGTGCGTCTGTCAGTATACGCTCGCTGATGTATTCCACGTTCGTCCGTATTCTTAGATGATTAAATTTTTTAGCGCGCGCGTGTGTGTGAACTACGGAATATTTTAGATTTTCTAAGTGACCGCAAACAATACTTTTTTTAATTCGCCAAAATAAATTTATTGGATCAGTGCGCTCAAAATTTTCAAAATTTTTTCGGATCTGTAAAAGTAGTTTTTTCTATAGCGTTGTTATTTATTTCGGTGGCAAAATGAGGACAAGTGACTTTGGCACGCGTCAGCCGCTTTGCGGCTACGTCTTTGCGGCCTCAATGGCTCGCAATTTGCACGCGCCATCAGTCAGCGCGTCAGTGAAGTGAATTGTGTCAGCGAGCGTGCAAGCTATGCATTGCAATTTGTTGCAGAAAACAGCATACAAGTTTTACGCCTTTCATTTATCGATTTTCCGCGCATCGTCTGGCAAAAGTAAGGCAACACGTGCCACACGCATGTGATAAGTAAAATTTTGCATTCTATTGTATTACTATAATTTTTATTTACAAAAACAAACCAGTGTTTTCCACAAAAAAAAAAACTTGCAACATAAATTCTAAGTGCAACACGTTACGCTAAACGGCCGAAGAACGCGCGTTTTAAGGTGCCACAACATCACCGTAGTGTTCTGCTCCCCAAAACAAACAACAATGTATTTTTTCTGATGAATTCAAGCAAAGCGCTTTAAGTTCCACTAAAGGCCGGAAAAATGCTCTAAAAACGCTTGTCATTTATTGCTTGCAAGCGGCAAGCTGCATGTGCGCCTGTTTGTATGCTTCGTCTGTAATGTGTTGTGCGTAAAACGGTGCATTCATTACCTGCATTTACGATCCTGGCCACACTACGTTTGTGCCACGAGTCACACGAAACGGTCATTAAATTGCAACTGCCGCGGCATTTTTATTTCAGTTATAATACTTGCCACTAAAACACACTTAATTGTTTTACACCACACACACGCACATACATACAAGCACACATGCAGCCTCATTACCCATATATGTATATAAAATATTGCGATTCTTTGTAGCATATAATGTGGCATAAAACGTGAAACAAATCACTGAAATTGCTCGCATCGAGTGAATTGCACTGAAAATTGTGCAGCAAGGCAAGAAAGCAAATTAACCGTAAATTCTGAAAGTGCAACAGTCATGCAACGCAAGTGGATAGCTAACAGTGACGATGAGCAGGGCGGCATTTTTAGATGACTGCAAAGTGAAAATAAAAAGAATTAGCTTCATACAGTGGTGAAACGGTTTAAAATTACAAAAGATATTGATATGAAAAATTTAATAAAATTAATTAGAAATTAAATTAAAGTTAGACAGTGTTGTGACTAAAATATTTACGCTAGCTGCACGAGTACGAGTACATAGACTGCGAAACAACAAGCAAATTCAGCAAAAATAATTATGAACAAGTTTATAAAACACAATTATAAAAATATTATTATAAAAATTAATAATTAATATTACAACAAATTCATGCAATCAGCAACTTGCCACAGCAGCAGTTGATAGCGCCAAATTGCTATTGTGTTCACTAGGCTTAAGTTAAAGTTGTTAAGTTCGTCAAAATTAGGCATACAACAAATACAAAAACAATCAAAAAGGTAGCAAGCATAAACTTGAAAATTGCACGAGTTTTTAAGTTAAAAAATACGAAATAAAATATATAGTAAATAAAGATGACATTGTTGCAATTAGCATTTAACGAACACTAAAATAACAACAAAAAATTGCAATTAAATTAGAATAAAAAATTAGTAATTAATGAAAAAACACAGGAATTAATGTTAAGGCCCACAACAAAGCAGACAAATTTGGTCAGATAAAACTAATAAAAAATAATTACAAAATTGCAAAACAACTATGTGAGCCAATAAAACCAATAAAATCAACAAAAAAATAACTAGAATTAATACGTTTGTATACGTTGGACACCTACAACTCGCGCACTACAATAAAGCAACCAGAAAAACACAGCAAAACTAGCGAATAATTCAAATATTTTAATGAAATTTAAAAATTAAGCGCATAAAACAACAAAATCATACTGAATTTACAAAAAAAAAACAATAATTGTTTAACAAAATTATTAATAATTCATAATAAAATTAATTCATAAAAAATTAGTTTATAAAAAGAATTAATAATTCACAATAATTAATTCTCAAAAAAATTAATAATTCATAAAAAGATTAATAATTCACAAAAAAAAACTAATTTTAACTAAAAAATTAATTAATGAAAAAAGCACAATAATTTATAAAATAATAAACCACAAAAAAATTTCACATAAAATTGCATAAAAATAAAATACGTGAACCTCCCTCGAAAATTCATCAACAAAAAAATGCACACAAAAATTAACGCTTACGAAAAAATTAAAAATATTCACCTCGAATAAAAACTACATCGAATCAAATCCCTTCATTGACAAATACTTTGTAAACTCAAATATAAATATATATACACGTATGTCTCACTAAATCCTTCAATAACTATTCCTGCATACAACTACATATACATATACCTACATGCATACAAAAACATTGATTTGTGTTCAAATTCCTGTGCAACTAAAATCATAAAAAATCGTCTGAAAAATCTCTGCGAAATTCATCTCAACATTTGTGCTCAGTGAATTTCATACCAATACAAGCGATTTCTATTTCCAAATAATAAAAACAAAAAACGAAAATTAAAAACAACCTACTTCTAGATTGAATACTAAATACTACTACTCACTCGCATCTACAAGCATAAACACACACATATACACGCATAACTGTATATGTCTTTTATGTGTGTCTAACTAGAAATCGCCAAGCAAGAGCGGAACTGAAGCCATAATTCGGAAAGGAGCTTACAAAGTAAGTTTTGCTATTGTAGACGTTGTTGGTTTGTTTAGTTCAGCTGTTGTTGAGAAAAAAATGCTTGGATTTTAATCCACACAAATTATCTTCGGTAACAAAATTTAAGGAAATTCTGGAAATGAATTTTGTCATGGTTGAAAAGTTTTTTGTTCGAGTGTTTGTTGTCATTTAGAGGTACAAAACTTTAGTTTCGACTAAAACACGAAACAACGTCAACTTCGCTTTTACCGAGGCTTTAATATCCTACACAAATAAAAAAGTAAATCACATCATTTTGATCGGTCAATTAAAAAAGATTTCAATAAAAATACTTTATTTTGATAAATCAGTTTATTTAGCAGCTATATGCTATAGGGGCTTATGTCTTGAGGACGTGGGCAAAATTTCAGAACGATATCGCAAAATCTGAGGGACTAGTTAGCGTATATACAGACATTGGAGAAGTTTCGTTGTGATTTACGTGAGTACCTGCTATCGACGGCCTAACCTCACGGTGCTTAAAAGCACAGCGTATCAATATATTGCATTGATCAGCACCCCAAACAATACGAGCTATTTGCAAGCACTTATTTGGATACCGATTAGCAGTGTGTAATGGGTACACTGACTACCTAGTTAGGGTTCGAGGCCGACCTAAAATCTCTTCCGTTCTTCGGGTAAAGAACCCAGTTACTTATGCAACTTCTTTTTTGAGCTGTATTTTTTAGTTCTCGCAGCATTTAGGTTTAAACCACAGCTACCAGGAATCCCACAAAGGGCCAAGCCCAATGAGCAGATTGGACCGAAGTCCAAGGGGATTCTGCTCCCTGTGGTACCAGAATTAAGTCTCCGGTAAGACCGTGTACTCGGAGTTGAGCATCCATCAACTTAATGACTAGTGATATTTGTCGCTTGAACTTCAAATGTCTTTTTATTAGAAGGAATCTGATTTAAAGTCTATAGTATCAGTTCAAGGTGAGTATTATATCACTATTTCTGACATAACTATGCTGATATTTCGAGGCAAAGTTTAATAACAGTCAGAGTGCATATGGATTTTAGTCGCCTTTTACGACAGACATACCTTACCGCTAGAAAATTCTAACCTCTGCAAGCTGAATGATCAGACATCGGACATTTGGAAATGGCTTAATCGACTCAGCTCGTCACGGTTAGTCGATTAATTGAAAACTCAACATGACTGCACTTTGTCCATTATTTTGTAATCTGTATGTATCCAGAGACAAGATGCCACCTTGTAATCCAATTTTAAATAGGCTTGCCTTCACTGAATTTTGTTTCTTTTCGGTTTATTTTTGGAGCGCCATTCTTTAGCTTGGTGGACAGTTTCGACGTCATATTCTAAAACCCACTTCTCGTGCGATGAATATCTTGATGACTACACGACCTTCACTGGATGCCTTGTGTCATTCAGATACTTCTTTTCTTGATAAAGTAAGCTCCCCAAAATACTTCTGTAACATTTTCAATTATTCTTTAGCCATGATTCCATTACAACACACAAAATTTTTAACAAAATCGTTGTTGAATTTTATTCCATGTTCCAAATCGCCAGACAAACTTTTCGCCTCGTAAACAAACAGCGGACAAACACACACAAATTGACATATGGAGATCAAACTTCACGCAGTTTGTATGTTATGGACCAGTCCGAGTAATGTTTGAGCAAGTGGTGTAAAACAAATTCGAGTGAGTCGCGCTGAAAATCAAATTAATATTTTCGGGAGCTCCGCTATAATAAAGCAGTAAACCTTGCGGCCCAAATAATGTATCGACTAAAGTTTTGGTCAACTTCAACAGTAGAATAAGTTATTCCAGAAAATATAATTTTCATAGGTAGTGTTCTAAAAAACTAACTATTCTAGCTTTAGATAATCTAGTCACAATTCATCCCGCAAGTTTTGTCGCTATTCTATGAACAAGTAGACCTGCTTCCTCTTTTTTTTATCTTACAAGTACTTTAGCAGCTTATGGCACACAACATAGTTCCGCATTCACAAAATGTACAGTAATACCTATCGAATTCTCTTATCTACCGAATTATTAACATTGGGGAAAAAATCGAGTTATTTTTATACAGCTATTGAGATAGAAGAGTTGATTGAATTAACGATTGATAGAAATAAGTCAGGGGAGTCAAATCTGAAGACTACTATAAAACGCGCATAAATTTTGGACTTTTTCAACGAATCACAAAAGTGTACTCTCTTTATCTTTATTTATCCTAGAAATTTAATTTCAAATAACGGCACGCATTTTCAGTTAACTATATAATTTACTTTTAACAAGTGTTAGCTTAAAACTTAACACTTTTTCGAGAACAAGCGAACATTTTATCGAGTTCACTTATGAACATAGCGTTAAGTTATTTATTGAGTCTACTTCTTCACTTCTGTTCTTCTTCTTTATATTTTATTTTTTTGGTTTCTTTTTCATTTTTTAAATATTTTTTTAGAACGAGAGAGCAATTAGCGCAATCAATTTCACCATTACTTGCTTATGCAACTCATTGTCAGCTCTCGAGCTTGGAACTTGTCCAATTTCCGAAAGTTCATCAAGTCGCTATTGTGTGAGATAAGCAAGCAAAACAGTTTCAATAAATTAAATGAGAAAAAATACTGGCACGTACCGAATACCGACGGAATAACGAATACCGAAAAACTAAAAACGTAACAAACCAAAACAGATCAATCAATTTCTGTGCATATACACACACACACTCACACATGCACGCACACCGCACACTAGTAAAGTTAATCTGCTATTTAATGTTGTTGTTATTATTGTGTTGTTGGCGAAATGTTTGTGCATCAGAACGCAGTCTGAATTTTAATTTGCGGAAAATTGGAAAATGATAAGTGAGGAAATGAAGAGAAATCTGTATTTTTATGTGGAAACAAAGAGAAAGCAAACAAAATTTATAAAATATAATAGAAGAAAAACAGATTAAATGAAATACTTTAAAAACAATGGAAAAATACAGCGCCAAATCAATAAAAAGTTAAGTGTGGTCACTGTCGCCATGTTATAGTAAATAATGTGTTCAGTCGTACATTTTGTCCTAAAATTATTAAAAAAGAAAACAAGAAAAAACGTTAACTTCGTTGAAGCAATACTGCCTTTGACAGTTGTATTTATTATAGCACAAAGGGGAGTATACAAAATTTTTATCTTGACTTTGACCGCTTATGTAAACTTTGATTTCTGAATAAATCATCAAAATATATTTATTTATTGAGCATATAAAAAAGAAGTAAGATTCATGTTTAGGTTAAGTGTTTTGAAATATTTAAATATTTTGTTATATTTCCTTTAACATGTTTCCATGACTTTCAGTCAATAAACCATGTTCTCCTGTAGTCTTTGCAGTGTTCCGGAGACGGTAGAATCATATTTTTTGCGATAAACACAGTTTCTCATAACCGGTCTATAAAACTTTATAAATTCATCAGAACACAGAATTATTTCCATTAATTTATGCCTTTGTCCCTACGGGCATTTGGCAAGCACGGTCTTGAAATTAAATTGTAATTAAATTTTTAATATATTTTTAATGATTTTTTGGTGCAGCTGTACTATTTTAAGCTGACGCTGCAACAGAAATAAGTTTTATTAAAGCGTCTTTGACTTGCTTGAGACTTGTTTAAAGTATTCAGGCCAATTTCTTCTTTTAGTTTCTTTGGGTTTTGACTTTAAAGTTTGGGTTGAGGACAAAAAGTAATCAAGCTCATACATTTAGTAATTATTTTTTTATATTGAGCTATGCTATATGGACTCTTGATTCTTGAATAATACAAAAAAATATTTATTTCACACAAAGTTAAGTCTATTGGAGCGAACCGACATTCAGAGGGCTGTTAAATTTAGGAGAACATTTCTTCATCTTTGCTTTATATTCACTGCAATAACATGCTTAACCGATTTTTATTCGAAACAGTTGTATCTACGCCCGGTCAAAGAGGTTTTGTTGCTTAAATTAAGGATAACTGTCACTCGAATAGCCAGAATTTTGTTTAGGCAATAATATATGTCCCCCATCTAAGGCAACAGTTTTGCTAAAACTTGAAAACACCATTGCTGCAAAGATTCTTCCAAATTAATAGTCACCTATTATTAATAACTAACTTAAGCAAGATTTTGAGTTTTCACAGTTGGACTCAATATGGTGCGTTTACTGATTGATACTTCATTGCCAGTCCAAAAAATTTAACTTGTGAAACGCCAACTCTTTGAAATTTTCAAAGTGTGCAAATAAAGAATGTCTTTGAATTTTTTTTTGGATTTTCATTCACATCTTTCTGATCATAATTCCCGATATGCAGTGCACTTTTAAGTGAAGGCGGTGCAAACAACTTTTTAATTTTATTGATTTTAAAACCGATTTCTTATTACATACGAGTTATATATCGCTTCAATATTGTCTATATAGTTCGCTTTTTAGCAAAGAGTCAGTTTGGTAGAGTAATGAGCTGCGTGCTCAGAATGAAGTTGTCAAAATAACCGAAGTTAGGGAACTAGTTGTGGTTTATATAGTAGATGATTTTATGTGATTTAAAAAAGCCATGTATGTACATATATTTTTGGGCCAAAGTTGGCATAGGCAGTTTTCTCTATACAAGTTTCGAAGAAACTGTGGAAATACGCGAAATCGGAAGCGCGCCAATCTCTTATGACAAAAATGGCAATCTAGAAGCTTTGCCAGACAAAACTTTGGCCTGACATCTGTCTCACTCAGTCGTTTCCGGTTCTCATTTGTTAATATTACTTTTTGAATTGCTGCTTGTGGCTGTGAACCCCATAAAAAGGTTAACAGTGGCTAAAAACGGCCATGACCACATACGTATACACATGTATACATTTTGGTAGGATAACATCAAGATACATCGAAATACATACTTATATGGGTAGAGTGCACCATTTGGGTATTTTATGCAAACACTAAATGACCAACTTCACAACGCCGACTGCATTTTAAATTAATTGAACTGATAGTCATT